GAGTACTGTTCTCATCTTTGGGCGGGAGCTCCCCAGTACCAGCTACTTCCATTCGACGATCAAGCTCTCTTTGATCGGCTTGATCCTTTAGCTCTGCGTAGAGATGTTGGATCACTCTGCATCTTCTACCGCATTTATCACGGGGAGTGTTCCGAGGAATTGTTCGGACTGATCCCAGCTGCTAAATTTCATCATCGGACATCGCGCCAAAATAGTAAATTCCATCCACACCACCTCGATGTCCAGCGTTCCACAACAGTGCGATTTTTGAGGCATTTTCTGCCCCGCACAACCACTCTGTGGAACCAGCTATCGCCGGCGGTCTTTCCGAACCACTACAACCTGGCCACCTTCAAGAAGAGAGCGTATTCCTTCCTTAAAGGCCGGCAACGCATCTGCAAGCCCTGCGGTGTTGCAGATGTCCATGGGCGGCGGTGATCACTTTCCATCAGGTGAGCCTCCTGTCCGTTTGCCCCCTTAGTCCCATAAAAAAAAACATAGTAAAGCTAACAAATGACTGGACTATTTTCATTAACGTAAGTTTAGCCGAGATAAGGTAGCCATTTGCATAGTAAGTATTTATTTAAACTTTTTACTTTTAATTTTTTAATTGCCTAGCAAGTACGGCTGAACATCGAGGGTTCAAATTTCGGGTCGGGCTAAGTTTAGTTATTGAGTCTTTCTGTATAGTAAGCCTTAGTAACAGGCCGGAGTTGGGAAATTGGCGGTGTTTTACCCCCGTGCCTCGGAGAGCACGTAAAGCCGTCGTTCTTGTGCCTTAACTCTAACCCGTCGTGTTGAGTAGTCGTCCCACCGGAGTATGAGAGTGACAGGAATAGAGAGTGCCCTTGTGTCTGCTAAGCGCAGTTTTGCACTATAATATCTCCTGCGCAGATGGCTAGTCTCAGTGAGACTGGCCGCCGTATCCGAAGTCGGTCATTATTATTTACTTAAAACGTTTGCAACAAGCGTGGCAGATTAATACCATATTCAAGTGTTTTCTATACGGTCGCACTAGCGCGTCTAGGGCAGCTGATCAAAATATTTAAAATATTTTTTTTATTTTTAAGGTGCGGTGAGCTAACTATATACATGCTGAAAAGTGTGCAATTCAATAGTCTGCCGAGTTCCAGAAGTCGAAGAAACAAAAATCGTCCATAAACTTATTTATGGGTATGGGCGGTATGGCTGCAAAGAGTGCTAGGTATCCTTATGTTAATCCTTTATGTTAATCCGCCGCGCGTAAGAAAATCGCCTCTTGGGCAGTCCTATAAAACTGTTCTGTAAACAATAACATGTACATATTTGTTTTTTTTATCTGTGTATTTGTTTGTTCGAGAATGATTGTTGTGTAGATAATTAAAACAGCTAAGTTACTAATCTTTCTTAAGCATGATGTAGCTATTTCCCTTTATTAATATTATGAAGGGAAAAAAGGTAATGTTATATTGTAATTAGACGTTTTTAAGTAGTCTATTACCCATTCTGATGGTTCACGCTGTCTTGATAGTGTAACCACCTGATATTTCTATATTATATTAAAATTACCTACCCTGAGCCCTAACGTGATTAAGCAACAAAGGATTGTAAAGAAGAATGAAGGCATATAAATTAAGACAAAATAGCTAAAACATGTTCTAAGCAATGTCTTATGCACAAGAGACCTAGTCGGTCCTTGCTCAGGACCTAACTATACGCCGGTCTCTGCCTGGCAATTAGTTACAAGCTAATATAGTACTATGTTATCTGTGTATATAATTTCTAAAGTGGAATGTTCATCTTTGAATAAAAATTGTTGTATGTATAATATGATATCTACGAATCAAGTATTCGTAGAAATTAGAATAATAATTATTTCACGCAAATGACCGTCGCAGCGATGTTGGGCGTTACGTGTCAGCTGAGCGGTTAAATTTTTGGTGACTCGGATTTTTTTTTATAAATCGGGCATGATATTACTGATGGAGTCCTGCATAATAAACAGGGTATCAATTCAATATTTTTATTATGTGTTGTGGATGTTACAGAATCTAAATGAGCATAAGCAATCTATCTGATTATCTGAACGAGCATAATTTTCCAGTACTGTTGAAAACACAGCTCATTTTATTTCAAATAATTAAGTAGTCCAAAGATAACAGAGTTATTTTATTCTACTTTACACAATAAAGTGAAATAAATACAAATCTCAGCGTAGCCATGGGCATTAGGTAGCATTCTACGACGTTTTAATTTTAATAATATTGTGAGCTGTTATCATAATCTCAATATAATATAGAAATCTTCATTGAAAATTAGATTATAATATATTTTATAACGTTAGATTTTCCCTCACCGTATTTAGAAAATCTACATTATGATGAGCACTTCTTATTTACTCATTCCTTCCACGTCAGTCGTGACATGCTATTGACATTTCGTGTTTTGAAAAATTGATTACAAGCAAACGATAGAGTACCGTTTGTAGAATAAAAAAATGCTCCACATTCTATAAAGTTAATTACAATTAATATGTCTATTTTAAAATATTACAGTTGATAATGTCGTTTTCATGACAGAGTAGTTAGGGTACAATTTTTAGAATAAGTAAACGAAATGCAGTATTCTCATAAATACCATGGAATAAGTTACCATGTTAAACAATCATAAAATGGTGTTGATAGAAAGTAGCAAGGTACCTGACACATCTATTAATTTAAATCTTTAATGAAAAATAATTGACGGTCATGTATAAAATGGTTATAATATCATGGCTGAACCTATCGATGCAGTAACTGTATGAACAATTTATTAATTGTTATTAATACAGTTACTTAACGATTAATATTATTTTTATTAGTCCGGCTATTGATCATTATTAAAAGTTTTTTTTTACATTTTTACTTAACAACGAGGATAAAAGAAAAAGTATGGGTATATACAAATACCTATACTTTTTATCTTAATAAATACATTTGACACTTTTAATTCTTCTGATACTGTCCGACACCTAAAATTTTCGAATCAAAACTGTTATCAAATCTTAAATAACATAAAGCAATTATTATATTGTATGTTATGGGTTTGAAGTACAAGAAAGACCAAACGAGAAGGCTAAGGCGGAAGGCGGAAGGGTAAATATATTAGTCGTACAGTAACTGGATTAATATTCACTTCAATAATATCATTTCTCAGGCCTTAGGGCTACGTGCCTTAGGCGCAAGATTCATTATCATTATCTTAAATAAGATTGGTTATTCAGCTATCTTACGAAAATAAATTACCACTGTGATGATATGGAATAAAAAATACCAATGTTTTTCCCAAGGCTATAGGCTAATAAGAATATCAAACTGTGTAAAAAATATATTATGCGTACTCATAATTAATATGATATAATAAACCTACCATTGATAAGGTACCAGTTCAAAATACCGCCTTAAAGATTTTTTTAAAGATTTTGATTATTATTGATATCATGTCACATAAATAAATTACTACATATAATTATAGATGCCTAAAGGGGCATATACATAAAATAGATATCTCCTTATACGTCTTTGTACTGTTTTAGTTCTCTACATTATAAAATTTAAAAAAAAAACTTTGAAGTGCAATAAATTATGAAAATTAACAAAAAATAAAAACCGACTTCCAGGCACTACAATGTAAAAAATAACTAAACGGAGGTTTTCATTTGGAACAAATACCTAATCAGATATTTTCGAAGTCGGTGCCAGCCGATGCAAAGCAAATCTAATATATTTCGATACGTAAAATATATATTTACCTATTAGATGTTCATATCTTAAAATATTGTAAGCTGGCACCGACTTCAAAAATATCTGATTAGGTATCTATTCTGAATGAAAACCCCCGTTTAGTTATTTTTTACATTTTAGTGCCTGGAAGTCGGTTTTTATTTTTTGTTAAAAAGTTTCTATTTTTATATAATTTGTAAGAAGAAAGTTTTTTAATACCATATTCGAATAAAAAAATTATTTAAAAAATATATTTATTTTGATTTTTAAAAAAATCGCTCAACCGATTTCGATAAAATTTATATGGGACCACCTGGGAAGTATACTCTTTGAAACAAAAAAAAATTCCAAATCGGTTCAGGCATCTTCGAGTAATCGGTGAACATACATAAAAAAAAAGAAAAAAAAAAGATTCCGACGAATTGATAACCTCCTCCTTTTTGGAAGTCGGTTAATGAACGAAATTACGTTAAAAGATTAAATACTTAAGAAGAGAAGAGCTTAAAAATTGCAAAATTTCAAATAATATAAAGTAACTTTACTTCTTTATATACGATAATTTAGTATTTGGAAGTATCTATCAGTCAGACTTGAGAAATTCTTTTAGCACTTTATAGCCTACTTCTTCTCTTCTTAACTTTGCTCGCGTGCGCCCCTAGGTGTGTGCGTAACATTAGCCGATAAAGTAATTCAACGGCCATTTTTTTCGACTACCTACTATTAAATTTATTATGATTTCTGACAGTAAGTACATTTTTTATCGGGATAAAAAATAGCCTACAGCGCTGAGCGGTAATATACTTTGCTATTATTAAAAGAATTTTCAGAATTGCATCAGTAGTTTCTTAGATTAATCCTTCCGTTACAATATTACAAGCTTTTGCCCTTTATAATATTTTTGTACATTTATTGAAAAAAAACACATAACATATTATTAAACACATTATTAAAAAAAAACTTGAGACTTACCCTTCGTTTGGGTGCGTCAAGTACTTAAAAGTGTATGTGCTACTTCAGGTTATAGTCTGTGTATTAAATTTCATCCAATTTCGTCCAGCCGTTTTACCATGAAGCGTAACAAACACACACATACAAATTTTAGCATTTATAATAGTAGCCGATTAGAATAGCCGATTACCGTTCTGATAAAATTGTACTTTCAAAATTTTTTAAATGTTATAATATAAAAACCTAAAACTTATATTATTCCTAGATATTTATAAATATGACGTTTAATAGTATAAACATGGTCTAACTTACCAAAGAAACAGCAGCAGAACACAATTGTGTAGAGCGTGATAAATATAGCTCTCACATCTGTTCTGTCGAATATAAACTCGTCGTCTTCCATAGAATATTGGCTTTCATTTTTTCTTAATGTGTATGTAGTATTATCAACACTACTAATATCTGTCTCGTTGCCATCCGTCGTTGCTGTATAGAAAACATAGTTCGATTCAACTGATGAATCCACCCGGTACATAATTTCAATCGTTTTTATGTCTTCAAGTGCATTTTTAAACCGGTTTCTCCATCTAGAACAAAAGTATACACTTTAACAAAAAATAATCGAATAGAAGCACTTTGCTTCTGTCATTTTTTAAAGTAATTATTTATTCAAACATTTTAAATAACATCATATATTATATTATTATCTATTGACAATAAATCTTATTATTAAATTTTATTTTTTTACAAATTCCAGCCAACAAGACCGTTTTTTTAACAAAACATCATAATTCAGCCATCTTGTACAAAATATTTACAAATTAAATGAGGAAGGTTCGTAACCTTCCTCGTTTATCGCTTAGTGTTGAGTTTATAATATTCTATTAGTGAGAACAATTTCAAAATCCGATGCGTGGTTTAGAAGAAGCAGATACAGACAGAAGCATACATCGACTTTATTTTACACTATATCATGTAGGCACATATATGTAAGTACATTGTACAATTATTGTACAATGTACATATTAATTATTATTATGTATATGAGCTCGAACTACTGATACTGATAGTTTAATTTAGCTTGAGCGTGATACTCGTACGCTCAAACTAAATTTTGCAATATACCATAAAAACGAGCGATATACAGACAAACAGAAAAAAATCTATAACTATTGTTTTGGGATCCATATTCTGTACATAACAGTCATTGTTTATAAAAAATATTTCATGTACAGATTTCGCTGTTTCTATTTTATATTTGATACTTATTGTAGTATATATATATACTACAATAAGTATATATATATATATATATATATATATATAGAGTATAGATATAAAAAAACCTTAGTTTTATGATTATACAGTATACGATTGAACCTTCATGCTACCTAGATTTATCTATACGGATTTAGTAATAACCCTATAGGACTTAATCACTCACGTGTGTCAATGAGGGACTTACAGCTTAGATATAGCAATTCTGATTAGGATTAGTTTTGCGGGACGAACTGGAAAATTAAGGACGTTTTGTCGATATTGTTATTTGAGAGATATGTATTGATGAAATATATTTATAATCTTATAACAAATTGTTTGAAACGTATTCAAGAAGGCATATGGAAACAAATCATTCTTTAACCTTTCCTTATTTAAACCAAATTGGTTAACAAAAGATTGAAATTTGATCTATGATATACCTACTCGTAGTTATAAAGTTACGTATCTATCCCAATTATTTTTGGAGGTATTTTATCAATAAATAAACCTAGTTTAGTGAGAAATTTAAATTATTATATCTTACCTATGTAAGATAATTAAATTATTATTTTACTGATAGTTCAGAAGACAATTGTATATTTTGATTTAATTCCATGTTTATAGCTATTGGGTGTGGCAATTGAGCTCAATAATTTAGTTCGCCAATGTCACATAAAACAGAAAAGATACAACAGAAGCGATCGTTAATATCTTGTACTTTTACGCTTTATGTTAATAGGTTAAACATGTACCTATACGTAAATAAAGGGTTTTTTGTAAGGGTTTTGGGAGTAAAAGCATGTAAAATAAAGTATACCTACTGTTCAATTTAATATTTCTTTACGCAGAACTATATCTAAAGTATATTTTATCATAGAAATAATTAAAAACAAATATATTTGTTACATTTCAACCTCTACTAGAGGCCAGTCGATACAACGTTTGGGACATGTAAAAATAAAAATAATTAGATTAAATTAACAACAAAAAAATGGCCCCGTTCTGGAACGAATAACAGGGCGACTCGCACTTGAAATTCTCATCTCGAATTTTTTAAGCCATTTAAATCCTTACATAGCATAATTATTAGATTTACGTCCGTCTCTTCGCTATCTCCCTCTTCCTAAGCAAAACTTTATAAATCGTCACATTTATAATGTGAACTTAAAGTTCTATACTTTTATCGCCACGAGTATAAATAACTTAAACAATCGATATTTTATTTAAGTATCTGTTTGATATCTCAGTTAGACTGTCTTTTATATCTAATTTTGTTAGAGCTTGCTATAAGTGTACAGTAAAAAAATTTCACTCCACCATACTGTACTCTATGTATAAGGAAAATGTCTACAGTTTAAAAACTTAAAACGGTGATGAAGATAAAAAAGTAATTACCTAATCCTTAAGTTTAACAATAAATTATAAAAACTGGCTAAATTAAGGTTGTACTCGGACTTGATAATATTTTACAGTTTATTTATGACTTGAAATGTTTATTCTTAATAGATTGCGTAAATATAACGTTATAATGTGTAAGTTCCGAACTAAAAGAACAAATTCATTTGCATCGGAAACTTTTGATATAAATTAATTTATGTACTAGGTATAAGATATCAGTGGGTACATTTTTATTTATCTGCTAGCGACTTAACCTCGCTTCGCTCGGGTTCGTCCCTACTTACGTTTTAAAATTTAGTATAAATTTCTCAGATATGCTATATTTTCCCGCAGTAAAATATATCCTATATGTTGACCCGGATAACCAGCTATCCTCATACCAAATTTCATCAAAACCCCTCCATTAGTTTTTCCGTGATGCGTTCACAGCCAGACAGAAAGACAAACATTCTAAAAACTAAAGATTCGGCATCTGTATCGATAATAATGTCTATTTCAATAAGATTTTCCAAAAAAATATTTATTGTACAGATTCAGCTTAGTTACAATTTTATTATATGTATAGATTCTAAGGTGCGATAATACATTATCGGACCTTAAAATCTATACATAATAGAATGCCGATAAATAGCCAAAAAATGTTATCAACTATTCGCTTTCGCCATTAAGCAATAAAGGAGTGCATGCACTCTTTTTATTCTGCGAAAGGCTCTGAGGCTCAATTAAACTCGCGCATTAGTTTCCACATCCGTTCCAGTTTTTCATCAAAATGTTAATTGAGAAACTAAAGAAATTCCCACAAATGTCATTCTCATTTAGCTCACTCAGGTCTCAATAGTCTAAATCGGATTTCATATTTTACACACTTGTTGTGTTATATAATGTACTGATTTTAAAGTACATAAATATAATGTGTTTTCTAATTATTTCTTATTTTATACATACTTATTAATTATATTAATACAATATTTCAATATTGCCATTGAATTAAAAGCCCTTTAAAAGTTGACTTGCCTTATTTTATGCCTATTGTTTAGTCTTACAATTTTTTACAATATTGCAAGTTTACGTTTAAAATTAAGCTGTAAGATTATCACAGAAACTAATTCTATAAAATGTCGTATTTTAAAATTTTGGATAAGTTTAGATGAACTACATTAAAAGGGGGAGGAGTTGTTGTTAAAGCAAAAAGAATACAGAAACACTCAGCTTTATAAATATTTGTATAGACCCACTGAATATAGACTCATAACAATATTGTAGAAAAAATTAAGAAAGTGGATCCATTCATATTGTAACTTTTTACTTAACAATTTATTTTAATTCATTTTTAAGAAGAGAGGAAAGTACTAAGCAAACATAAAAGTTTTACAGCAAAATTTTTTCCACTATTGTAACGAACACGCATTAGACATTAATATAACAAAAATGTAGGTACTTGATGAAAAGCTTTCTGTATTATTGAAAATCCAAAGAAATTCTTGTTTTTATGTCCTAGTAAGTGCCTACGTGAATAAAATTTATTGTATATCTTTAGTCTTTAGTAGTTAGAAGAACTGGTTGTGAAAAGAATGTACCTAACGCTCAAATGTTTTACTCAAGTGCGAATCTAGCCATCTAGTATTTAATAAAGAAACATTATTTTTTTCTATAATTTAGGTAATATTTTATTTATCTTATGTCAATAAAGATGTTACTTAATAATACAGCCAACACAGGTCAATAATAGTGTCCACAATATACAGCGCGATAATTTTATATAAGTTTACAAACGAAGCAGAATAGCTAAAAGCTCATTAGCGTCCGGCATTTTACATTCTTGCCGGTGAGTCCCACATACCACATCTACCTATAAACTGTCTAATGGTTTTCCCGTGATGATGATAGAAAGAAAGACAATAATTCTAAAAAATATAGATTCAGCCTCTCTATCGATAATGATATCTATTTCAATAGGAATTTCCTAAAAAATAACATACAGATCCGGCTCAGATAAATTTTTATTGTATGTATAGATTTGGGATTAATCTGTCAATGTCAGCTATGTCAGAAAGACGAGCTCATGTTCTTTAAAAATCCCTGAGCCTTAAGCGGATTTATGGTAGATTTCGCTTTATATACAAAATCTAGTGAATTATTCTTACTTCACTCGAGGCACCCAAGTGGGCTACTACATATTACCTATATAATAATATTTTATATATAACTGCCTCGGTGGTGTAGTGGCTAGCATGTACGGCTGCACACCCGGAGGTCCTGGGTTTGAGTCCCGGGTTGGGCCAAGTTCAGTTATTGAGTCTTTCTGTATAGTAAGCCTCAGTAACAGCCCGGAGTTGGGAAGTTGGTGGTGTTTCACCCCCGTGCCTCGGAGAGCACGTAAAGCCGTCGGTCCTGCGCCATAACTCTCACTGGTCGTGTCGAGCAATCGTCCCACCGGAGTATGAGAGTGACAGGAATAGAGAGTGCACTTGTGTCTGCGCGTACACTTGTGCGCTATAATATCTCCTGCACAGTTGGCTAGTCTCAATGAGATTGGCCGCCGTGGCCGGAATTGATCAGGTGAACATCATAATAATAATTAATCACGCGATAATTTTTATTAATAGATATTTATGTTTTGCGATAACTCCTAAGATATTATTAAACTAAATAATATGGCATCAAGGAAAAAATGTACATTTTATGTATATATTATGTTCTAAATAAAATATTTAAGATCATAAACATATTTATTCAATCAAGGATTAATACGATATCGGTTAGAACAGCTTCGCAAATAATGCACCATTTTCGCTTAAAATTGGAAAGGTAGAAATGGTTCCCGTGAATTATCCTTACAAGATGAAATACTATACCATCGCGGGCTATTTAATATAA